TTTTTTTTTTGGGCGAAAAATGAAGTGTCTCCAATCTTCTCAAAACTCTGGATTCTGATAGAGGGCCATGAGATTTAAACCTGAGTGCAAAAATGGAGGCTCTAGACCCTTCCAGAGCTGAAATATCGAAACTCAAAAATTCGACCCAAAAAAAAAAACGACAGTGGTACCCCTTTCGTGTTTTTTTTTTCGGGCGAAAAAATTAAGTTTCTCCAATCTTCTCAAAACTCTGGATTCTGATAGAGGCCATGAGACTTAAACCTGAGTGCAAAAATGGAGGCTCTAGACCCTTCCAGAGCTGAGATATCGAAACTCAAAAATTCGACCCCAAAAAAAACCGACAGTGGTACCCCTTACGTTTTTTTTTTTTTGGGCGAAAAATGAAGTGTCTCCAATCTTCTCAAAACTCTGGATTCTGATAGAGGGCCATGAGACTTAAACCTGAGTGCAACAATGGAGGCTCTAGACCCTTCCAGAGCTGAGATATCGAAAATCTAAATTTTGACCAGAAAAAAAAAACGACAGTGGTACCCCTTACGTTTTTTTTTTTGGGCGAAAAATGAAGTGTCTCCAATCTTCTCAAAACTCTGGATTCTGATAGAGGGCCATGAGACTTAAACCTGAGTGCAAAAATGGATGCTCTAGACCCTTCCAGAGCTGAGATATCGAAACTCAAAAATTCGACCCAAAAAAAAAACGACAGTGGTACCCCTTACGTTTTTTTTTTTTGGGTGAAAAATTACGTTTCTCCAATCTTCTCAAAACTCTGGATTCTGATAGAGGGCCATGAGACTTAAACCTGAGTGCAAAAATGGAGGCTCTAGACCCTTCCAGAGCTGAGATATCGAAACTCAAAATTTCGACCGGAAAAAAATACGACAGTGGTACCCCTTACGTTTTTTTTTTTGGGCGAAAAATGAAGTGTCTCCAATCTTCTCAAAACTCTGGATTCTGATAGAGGGCCATGAGACTTAAACCTGAGTGCAACAATGGAGGCTCTAGACCCTTCCAGAGCTGAGATATCGAAAATCTAAATTTTGACCAGAAAAAAAAAACGACAGTGGTACCCCTTACGTTTTTTTTGGGGGGGCGAAAAATGAAGTTTCTCCAATCTTCTCAAAACTCTGGATTCTGATAGAGGGCCATGAGACTTAAACCTGAGTGCAACAATGGAGGCTCTAGACCCTTCCAGAGCTGAGATATCGAAAATCTAAATTTTGACCAGAAAAAAAAACGACAGTGGTACCCCTTACGTTTTTTTTTTTTTGGGGCGAAAAATGAAGTTTCTCCAATCTTCTCAAAACTCTGGATTCTGATAGAGGGCCATGACACTTAAACCTGAGTGCAACAATGGAGGCTCTAGACCCTTCCAGAGCTGAGATATCGAAAATCTAAATTTTGACCAGAAAAAAAAACGACAGTGGTACCCCTTACGTTTTTTTTTTTGGGGCGAAAAATGAAGTGTTCTCCAATCTTCTCAAAACTCTGGATTCTGATAGAGGGCCATGAGACTTAAACCTGAGTACAAAAATGGAGGCTCTAGACCCTTCCAGAGCTGAGATATCGAAACTCAAAAATTCGACCCAAAAAAAAAACGACAGTGGTACCCCTTACGTTTTTTTTTTTTTTTTGGGCGAAAAATGAAGTGTCTCCAATCTTCTCAAAACTCTGGATTCTGATAGAGGGCCATGAGACTTAAACCTGAGTGCAAAAATGGAGGCTCTAAGACCCTTTCCAGAGCTGAGATATCGAAACTCAAAAATTCGACCCAAAAAAAAAAACGACAGTGTGGTACCCTTACGTTTTTTTTTTTTTTTTGGGCGAAAAATGAAGTGTCTCCAATCTTCTCAAAACTCTGGATTCTGATAGAGGGCCATCAGATTTAAACCTGAGTGCAAAAATGGAGGCTCTAGACCCTTCCAGAGCTGAAATATCGAAACTCAAAAATTCGACCCAAAAAAAAAAAACGACAGTGGTACCCCTTTCGTGTTTTTTTTTTTCGGGCGAAAAATTAAGTTTCTCCAATCTTCTCAAAACTCTGGATTCTGATTGAGGGCCATGAGACTTAAACCTGAGTGCAACAATGGAGGCTCTAGACCCTTCCAGCGCTGAGATATCGAAAATCTAAATTTTTACCAGAAAAAAAAACGACAGTGGTACCCCTTACGTTTTTTTTTTTGGGGCGAAAAATGAAGTTTCTCCAATCTTCTCAAAACTCTGGATTCTGATAGAGGGCCATGAGACTTAAACCTGAGTGCAACAATGGAGGCTCTAGACCCTTCCAGAGCTGAGATATCGAAAATCTAAATTTTGACCAGAAAAAAAAACGACAGTGGTACCCTTTACGTTTTTTTTTTTTTTGGGCGAAAAATGAAGTCTCTCCAATCTTCTCAAAACTCTGGATTCTGATAGAGGGCCATGAGACTTAAACCTGAGTGCAAAAATGGAGGCTCTAGACCCTTCCAGAGCTGAGATATCGAAACTCAAAATTTCGACCGGAAAAAAAAAACGACAGTGGTACCCCTTTCGTTTTTTTTTTTTCGGGCGAAAAATGAAGTTTCTCCAATCTTCTCAAAACTCTGGATTCTGGTAGAGGGCCATGAGACTTAAACCTGAGTGCAAAAATGGAGGCTCTAGACCCTTCCAGAGCTGAGATATCGAAACTCAAAAATTCGACCCAAAAAAAACCGACAGTGGTACCCTTACGTTTTTTTTTGGGCGCGAAAATGAAGTGTCTCCAATCTTCTCAAAACTCTGGATTCTGATAGAGGGCCATGAGACTTAAACCTGAGTGCAACAATGGAGGCTCTAGACCCTTCCAGAGCTGAGATATCGAAAATCTAAATTTTGACCAGAAAAAAAAACGACAGTGGTACCCCTTACGTTTTTTTTTTGGGCGAAAAATGAAGTTTCTCCAATCTTCTCAAAACTCTGGATTCTGATAGAGGGCCATGAGACTTAGACCTGAGTGCAAAAATGGAGGCTCTAGACCTTTCCAGAGCTGAGATATCGAAACTCAAAATGTCGACCCAAAAAAAAAAAAACGACAGTGGTACCCCTTTCGTTTTTTTTTTTTTTTTTTTTCGGGCGAAAAATTAAGTATCCCCAATCTTCTCAAAACTCTGGATTCTGATAGAGTGCCATGAGACTTAGACTTGAGTGCAAAAATGGAGGCTCTAGACCAGAGGTCTCAAACTTGCGGCCAGCGGGGTGATATTTTGTGGCCCTCCACTTGACATTAAAGTTTAATATGAGTGTGGCCCGCCGTATGTTGGATATCCCTGCTCTAAAACAATGTGAGAATAATAATTTTGAGCTTGCAATATGTGTTGTGTCTGAATGCGTTCAATGAACGATAGTTCATGAACTTGTTCATATTTTGGGTGAACGTGAACTGAACGTAGCCTACTGTATCACTGCCTGATGAACGTTACAGTGAACTCGTTCATTCTAGTGTCTGTGAACCGAGGAGCGAGGAGGCGTCGTAAGATCATTTAAAAGGGTTTTATGAGGTCGGTGAGGATGGGAAAATCTTACATGTCTGTGCAAACTCTGCCCGTCGACAAAATAATTATTATCTGTGGTTGTATATGGGCTGTGGCAATAATAATAGCCTACTAATAAAAAAGAAGCTCCAGGCAACATATGGAAAAAAAGAAATATGAACTAGTTAATTTTTTGAACTATGAAATATGAACTGAACTAGTTCATTTTAAAATTTGTGAACTGAACTTTGATCCAACAGGTTGATAAGAAGGTTTGCTTTGATATGTGCAAAGTCAGTAATTTGCCTGAGACACTATACATGTGTAGAAAGAATTATTTGTATTTCAAAAGCAATAATTGTTTTTCTAAGTATAATAAAAAAATGCCTTCTGAAAAAAGAAAAAAAACATTCAATATAATAGTGTTGTATAAAGAAAATAAAAAGCAAATATGACTATCACAAAGATGTTGTGTATAAGAAAAAGACAAAGAACGTTTGTAAAATTAACTTCAACTGTCAGAAGGACAGCTCATGAAGAACCAATCATGTACAGAAAGGAATGATCAAATTCAGAGGAACAGTTCAGAAGAAACGTTAATAATAAAGATTGAGAAGAATGGAACAGTTGTGCTCCATTTTTGGAATACTTAAATACATTTTTTTTTTTTTTTTGGAATACTTGATGCGGCCCGGCCTGACCCATCTCCAGCGGCCCCCAGTTAATTTGAGTTTGAGACCCTTGCTCTAAAGCGTTCAAGATTTACAATTTAAGCTGGAAATGTAATTTCAGCTCAAAAAGTGAATAAATGGATTATAAATACAGCGTAAATATAATTTAGAGCCCTAAAATCCCCTAAAAATAAAAAATATTAAACAAAAAACATTATCAAACTAAAATATAGTACATTCCCTTTATTGAAATAAAAAATATATAAAAATTCTGTCAATTTTGACTGACACGCGAAGAGCACCAGAGGGTTAAAGATAGTTGAGCAATGTTGATGCACATCTTTGAATTGGTCAAGATTCTGATTTTCTGATTTTCATTGGGTCAGAGTTTACACCTTCCTCCTGAGGAGTATCATATACCTGATTCCCCCACACACACACACACACACACAGCGTCTCGTGTCCCTCTCGCCCCTGAGTAACGCTTGTCTCCTCATGTAGGAGGCTCGATCTCACTCTCCCCGGCACCTCGAGCCCCAGTCTCCCACATCCAGCTCTGTCTTCTGTAGCTCAGACTGTCCTGTGTCCCTCAGTAAACCCCCGTGTTATGAGGAGGCTGTGAAACAGGTAAAGCAGCTCGTCCTTGGCTTCTGTCTCGCTGCTGTCCTCACACACAAGTTACACGTGTATATACTCACATGTGTATATACTGTGTTTATATACAATTTATATTATATATAAATAAATACTTTGTAAATAACACATTTTTCTTAAATATGTACATGCATGTGTGTGTATTTATATATACAAAATAATTATACACAGTACACACATTTTATGTAAACAAACTTTTATTTAGGATGCGATTAATCGTTGGCCAGCACTAGTATTTTTATTTATTTTTATTTTGGAGGATTATTAACACAAGAATGCAGTTATGTGAATGTGTAGATGGAGTGAAACCAAACTTTCCCAAACACACAATAAACCGAGACACTGAAAACACGGCACGCGTGGATATAAACCCTGCTGTACTTGAGTGATTTCTGTCACAAACATCTGCTAGTGTAACAACACTTAACAACAAAACCTGTTCATATATGTAATGTTCTCAAAACCGTATGGAAGCCGTTTCCACCACAGAATTTTTTTTTTAATTTAACTTTTTATCTCAAAATTCTAAGTTTATATTTAGTATTTTGCCTTTATTTCTCATATTTCTGAGTTTAAACATTACTCTAAATCCTGACTTTCTGGCTTTATTTCTTGTAATTCTGACTTCATTTCTCTAAATCCTGACTTTATTTGCAAATTTAGAGATAATTAAAATTGTGAGGCAGAAAAATTCAATTAAATTAACTTTCTATAGTTTTGGAAGTGTGGATCACTGAGCCGGTGTGTGTGTGTTGCAGCAGATGGTGCGCAGCCAGCAGATGGACGAGATCCTGGATGTCCTCATCGAGAGTGGAGGTCAGTCTCATTCAAACACTCAGATGTTGAGTCGGTGTTGAGTTAGTGTTTCACACACTCAGATGTTGTGCCGGTGTTGAGTTAGTGTTTCACACACTCAGATGTTGTGACGGGGTTGAGTTAGTGTTTCACACACTCAGATGTTGTGACGGTGTTCAGTTAGTGTTTCACACACTCAGATGTTGAGTAGGTGTTGAGTTAGTGTTTCACACACTCAGATGTTGTGCCGGTGTTGAGTTAGTGTTTCACACACTCAGATGTTGTGACGGTGTTGAGTTAGTGTTTTACTTAAACCTGAGTGCAACAATGGAGGCTCTAGACCCTTCCAGAGCTGAGACATCGAAACTCAAAATTTCGACCAGGAAAAAAAACGACAGTGTTACCCCTTACGTTTTTTTTTTTTGGGCAAAAAATTAAGTATCCCCAATCTTCTCAAAATTCTGGATTCTGATAGAGGGCCATGAGACTTAGACCTGAGTGCAACAATGGAGGCTCTAGACCCTTCCAGAGCTGAGATATCGAAACTCAAAATTTCGACCAGAAAAAAAAAAACGACAGTGTTACCCCTTACGTTTTTTTTTTGGGGCGAAAAATTAAGTTTCCCCAATCTTCTCAAAACTCTGGATTCTGATAGAGGGCCATGAGACTTAGACCTGAGTGCAACAATGGAGGCTCTAGACCCTTCCAGAGCTGAGATATCGAAACTCAAAATTTCGACCAGAAAAAAAAACGACAGTGTTACCCCTTACGTTTTTTTTTTTGGGCGAAAAATTAAGTTTCCCCAATCTTCTCAAAACTCTGGATTCTGATAGAGGGCCATGAGACTTAGACCTGAGTGCAACAATGGAGGCTCTAGACCCTTCCAGAGCTGAGATATCGAAACTCAAAATTTCGACCCGAAAAAAAAAACGACAGTGTTACCCCTTACTTTTTTTTTTTTGGGCGAAAAATTAAGTTTCCCCAATCTTCTCAAAACTCTGGATTCTGATAGAGGGCCATGAGACTTAGACCTGAGTGCAACAATGGAGGCTCTAGACCCTTCCAGAGCTGAGATATCGAAAATCAAAATTTCGACCAGAAAAAAAACGACAGTGTTACCCCTTTTTTTTTTTTTTGGGCGAAAAATTAAGTTCCCCAATCTTCTCAAAACTCTGGATTCTGATAGAGGGCCATGAGACTTAGACCTGAGTGCAACAATGGAGGCTCTAGACCCTTCCAGAGCTGAGATATCGAAAATCAAAATTTCGACCCGAAAAAAAAACGACAGTGTTACCCCTTACGTTTTTTTTGGGGGGCGAAAAATTAAGTTTCCCCAATCTTCTCAAAACTCTGGATTCTGATAGAGGGCCATGAGACTTAGACCTGAGTGCAACAATGGAGGCTCTAGACCCTTCCAGAGCTGAGATATCGAAACTCAAAATTTCGACCAGAAAAAAAAAACGACAGTGGTACCCCTTACGTTTTTTTTTGGGGCGAAAAATTAAGTTTCCCCAATCTTCTCAAAACTCTGGATTCTGATAGAGGGCCATGAGACTTAGACCTGAGTGCAACAATGGAGGCTCTAGACCCTTCCAGAGCTGAGATATCGAAAATCAAAATTTCGACCCGAAAAAAAAACGACAGTGTTACCCCTTACGTTTTTTTTTTTGGGCGAAAAATTAAGTTTCCCCAATCTTCTCAAAACTCTGGATTCTGATAGAGGGCCATGAGACTTAGACCTGAGTGCAACAATGGAGGCTCTAGACCCTTCCAGAGCTGAGATATCGAAAATCAAAATTTTGACCCGAAAAAAAAAACGACAGTGTTACCCCTTACTTTTTTTTTTGGGCGAAAAATTAAATTCCCCCAATCTTCTCAAAACTCTGGATTCTGATAGAGGGCCATGAGACTTAGACCTGAGTGCAACAATGGAGGCTGTAGACTCTTCCAGAGCTGAGATATCGAAACTCAAAATTTCGACCAGAAAAAAAAACGACAGTGTTACCCCTTACGTTTTTTTTTTTGGGCGAAAAATTAAGTTCCCCAATCTTCTCAAAACTCTGGATTCTGATAGAGGGCCATGAGACTTAGACCTGAGTGCAACAATGGAGGCTCTAGACCCTTCCAGAGCTGAGATATCGAAAATCAAAATTTCGACCAGAAAAAAAAACGACAGTGTTACCCCTTACGTTTTTTTTTTTTGGGCGAAAAATTAAGTTCCCCAATCTTCTCAAAACTCTGGATTCTGATAGAGGGCCATGAGACTTAGACCTGAGTGCAACAATGGAGGCTCTAGACCCTTCCAGAGCTGAGATATCGAAACTCAAAATTTCGACCAGAAAAAAAAAACGACAGTGTTACCCCTTACGTTTTTTTTTTGGGGCGAAAAATTAAGTTTCCCCAATCTTCTCAAAACTCTGGATTCTGATAGAGGGCCATGAGACTTAGACCTGAGTGCAACAATGGAGGCTCTAGACCCTTCCAGAGCTGAGATATCGAAAATCAAAATTTCGACCAGAAAAAAAAACGACAGTGTTACCCCTTACGTTTTTTTTTTTTTGGGGCGAAAAATTAAATTCCCCCAATCTTCTCAAAACTCTGGATTCTGATAGAGGGCCATGAGACTTAGACCTGAGTGCAACAATGGAGGCTTTAGACCCTTCCAGAGCTGAGATATCGAAAATCAAAATTTCGACCCGAAAAAAAAACGACAGTGTTACCCCTTACCTTTTTTTTTTTTGGGCGAAAAATTAAGTTTCCCCAATCTTCTCAAAACTCTGGATTCTGATAGAGGGCCATGAGACTTAGACCTGAGTGCAACAATGGAGGCTCTAGACCCTTCCAGAGCTGAGATATCGAAAATCAAAATTTTGACCAGAAAAAAAAAAACGACAGTGTTACCCCTTACGTTTTTTTTTTTTTTTGGCGAAAAATTAAGTTTCCCCAATCTTCTCAAAACTCTGGATTCTGATAGAGGGCCATGAGACTTAGACCTGAGTGCAACAATGGAGGCTCTAGACCCTTCCAGAGCTGAGATATCGAAACTCAAAATTTCGACCAGAAAAAAAAACGACAGTGTTACCCCTTACGTTTTTTTTTTTTTGGGCGAAAAATTAAGTTTCCCCAATCTTCTCAAAACTCTGGATTCTGATAGAGGGCCATGAGACTTAGACCTGAGTGCAACAATGGAGGCTCTAGACCCTTCCAGAGCTGAGATATCGAAACTCAAAATTTCGACCAGAAAAAAAAACGACAGTGTTACCCCTTACGTTTTTTTTTTTTTGGGCGAAAAATTAAGTATCCCCAATCTTCTCAAAACTCTGGATTCTGATAGAGGGCCATGAGACTTAGACCTGAGTGCAACAATGGAGGCTCTAGACCCTTCCAGAGCTGAGATATCGAAAATCAAAATTTCGACCAGAAAAAAAAACGACAGTGTTACCCCTTACGTTTTTTTTTGGGGGGCGAAAAATTAAGTTTCCCCAATCTTCTCAAAACTCTGGATTCTGATAGAGGGCCATGAGACTTAGACCTGAGTGCAAAAATGGAGGCTCTAGACCCTTCCAGAGCTGAGATATCGAAACTCAAAATTTCGACCAGAAAAAAAAAACGACAGTGTTACCCCTTACGTTTTTTTTTTTGGGCGAAAAATTAAGTTTCCCCAATCTTCTCAAAACTCTGGATTCTGATAGAGGGCCATGAGACTTAGACCTGAGTGCAACAATGGAGGCTCTAGACCCTTCCAGAGCTGAGATATCGAAAATCAAAATTTCGACCAGAAAAAAAAAACGACAGTGTTACCCCTTACGTTTTTTTTTTTGGGCGAAAAATTAAGTTTCCCCAATCTTCTCAAAACTCTGGATTCTGATAGAGGGCCATGAGACTTAGACCTGAGTGCAACAATGGAGGCTCTAGACCCTTCCAGAGCTGAGATATCGAAACTCAAAATTTCGACCAGAAAAAAAAAGACAGTGTTACCCCTTACGTTTTTTTTTTTGGGCGAAAAATTAAGTATCCCCAATCTTCTCAAAACTCTGGATTCTGATAGAGGGCCATGAGACTTAGACCTGAGTGCAACAATGGAGGCTCTAGACCCTTCCAGAGCTGAGATATCGAAAATCAAAATTTCGACCAGAAAAAAAACGACAGTGTTACCCCTTACGTTTTTTTTGGGGGGCGAAAAATTAAGTTTCCCCAATCTTCTCAAAACTCTGGATTCTGATAGAGGGCCATGAGACTTAGACCTGAGTGCAAAAATGGAGGCTCTAGACCCTTCCAGAGCTGAGATATCAAAACTCAAAATTTCGACCAGAAAAAAAAACGACAGTGTTACCCCTTACGTTTTTTTTGGGGGGCGAAAAATTAAGTTTCCCCAATCTTCTCAAAACTCTGGATTCTGATAGAGGGCCATGAGACTTAGACCTGAGTGCAAAAATGGAGGCTCTAGACCCTTCCAGAGCTGAGATATCGAAAACTCAAAATTTCGACCAGAAAAAAAAAACGACAGTGTTACCCCTTACGTTTTTTTTTGGGGGGGGCGAAAAATTAAGTTTCCCCAATCTTCTCAAAACTCTGGATTCTGATAGAGGGCCATGAGACTTAGACCTGAGTGCAACAATGGAGGCTCTAGACCCTTCCAGAGCTGAGATATCGAAAATCAAAATTTCGACCTGAAAAAAAAAACGACAGTGTTACCCCTTACGTTTTTTTTTTTTTTGGCGAAAAATTAAATTTCCCCAATCTTCTCAAAACTCTGGATTCTGATAGAGGGCCATGAGACTTAGACCTGAGTGCAACAATGGAGGCTCTAGACCCTTCCAGAGCTGAGATATCGAAAATCAAAATTTCGACCTGAAAAAAAAACGACAGTGTTACCCCTTACGTTTTTTTTTTTTTTGGCGAAAAATTAAATTTCCCCAATTTTCTCAAAACTCTGGATTCTGATAGAGGGCCATGAGACTTAGACCTGAGTGCAACAATTGAGGCTCTAGACCCTTCCAGAGCTGAGATACTGAAAACTCAAAATTTCGACCAGAAAAAAAAAACGACAGTGTTACCCCTTACGTTTTTTTTTTTTGGGCGAAAAATTAAGTTTCCCAATCTTCTCAAAACTCTGGATTCTGATAGAGGGCCATGAGACTTAGACCTGAGTGCAACAATGGAGGCTCTAGACCCTTCCAGAGCTGAGATATCGAAAATCAAAATTTCGACCAGAAAAAAAAAACGACAGTGTTACCCCTTACGTTTTTTTTTTTTGGGCGAAAAATTAAGTTTCCCCAATCTTCTCAAAACTCTGGATTCTGATAGAGGGCCATGAGACTTAGACCTGAGTGCAACAATGGAGGCTCTAGACCCTTCCAGAGCTGAGATATCGAAAATCAAAATTTCGACCAGAAAAAAAAACGACAGTGTTACCCCTTACGTTTTTTTTTTTTTTCGAAAAATTAAGTTTCCCCAATCTTTTCAAAACTCTGGATTCTGATAGAGGGCCATGAGACTTAGACCTGAGTGCAACAATGGAGGCTCTAGACCCTTCCAGAGCTGAGATATCGAAACTCAAAATTTCGACCAGAAAAAAAAAACGACAGTGTTACCCCTTACGTTTTTTTTTTTTTGGGCGAAAAATTAAGTATCCCCAATCTTCTCAAAACTCTGGATTCTGATAGAGGGCCATGAGACTTAGACCTGAGTGCAACAATGGAGGCTCTAGACCCTTCCAGAGCTGAGATATCGAAAATCAAAATTTCGACCAGAAAAAAAAACGACAGTGTTACCCCTTACGTTTTTTTTGGGGGGGCGAAAAATTAAGTTTCCCCAATCTTCTCAAAACTCTGGATTCTGATAGAGGGCCATGAGACTTAGACCTGAGTGCAACAATGGAGGCTCTAGACCCTTCCAGAGCTGAGATATCGAAAATCAAAATTTCGACCAGAAAAAAAAAAACGACAGTGTTACCCCTTACGTTTTTTTTTTTGGGGCGAAAAATTAAGTTTCCCCAATCTTCTCAAAACTCTGGATTCTGATAGAGGGCCATGAGACTTAGACCTGAGTGCAAAAATGGAGGCTCTAGACCCTTCCAGAGCTGAGATATCGAAACTCAAAATTTCGACCAGAAAAAAAAACGACAGTGTTACCCCTTACGTTTTTTTTTGGGGGCGAAAAATTAAGTTTCCCCAATCTTCTCAAAACTCTGGATTCTGATAGAGGGCCATGAGACTTAGACCTGAGTGCAAAAATGGAGGCTCTAGACCCTTCCAGAGCTGAGATATCGAAAACTCAAAATTTCGACCAGAAAAAAAAACGACAGTGTTACCCCTTACGTTTTTTTTTTTGGGGGGCGAAAAATTAAGTTTCCCCAATCTTCTCAAAACTCTGGATTCTGATAGAGGGCCATGAGACTTAGACCTGAGTGCAAAAATGGAGGCTCTAGACCCTTCCAGAGCTGAGATATCGAAAACTCAAAATTTCGACCAGAAAAAAAAAACGACAGTGTTACCCCTTACGTTTTTTTTTTTGGGGGGCGAAAAATTAAGTTTCCCCAATCTTCTCAAAACTCTGGATTCTGATAGAGGGCCATGAGACTTAGACCTGAGTGCAAAAATGGAGGCTCTAGACCCTTCCAGAGCTGAGATACCGAAAACTCAATTTCGACCAGAAAAAAAAAACGACAGTGTTACTTACCCCTTACGTTTTTTTTTTTGGGCGAAAAATTAAGTTTCCCAATCTTCTCAAAACGCTGGATTCTGATAGAGGGCCATGAGACTTAGACCTGAGTGCAACAATGGAGGCTCTAGACCCTTCCAGAGCTGAGATATCGAAAATCAAAATTTCGACCAGAAAAAAAAAAAACGACAGTGTTACCCCTTACGTTTTTTTTTTTTGGGCGAAAAATTAAGTTTCCCCAATCTTCTCAAAACTCTGGATTATGATAGAGGGCCATGAGACTTAGACCTGAGTGCAACAATGGAGGCTCTAGACCCTTCCAGAGCTGAGATATCGAAAATCAAAATTTCGACCAGAAAAAAAAAAACGACAGTGTTACCCCTTTTTTTTTTTTTTTTTGGCGAAAAATTAAGTTTCCCCAATCTTTTCAAAACTCTGGATTCTGATAGAGGGCCATGAGACTTAGACCTGAGTGCAACAATTGAGGCTCTAGACCCTTCCAGAGCTGAGATATTGAAACTCAAAATTTCGACCAGAAAAAAAAACGACAGTGTTACCCCTTACGTTTTTTTTTTTTGGGCGAAAAATTAAGTTTCCCCAATCTTCTCAAAACTCTGGATTATGATAGAGGGCCATGAGACTTAGACCTGAGTCTAACAATCGAGGCTCTAGACCCTTCCAGAGCTGAGATATCGAAAATCAAAATTTCGACCAGAAAAAAAAACGACAGTGTTACCCCTTACGTTTTTCTTTTGGGGGGCGAAAAAATTAAGTTACCCCAATCTTCTCAAAACTCTGGATTATGATAGAGGGCCATGAGACTTAGACATCAGTGCAACAATTGAGGCTCTAGACCCTTCCAGAGCTGAGATATCGAAAATCAAAATTTCGACCAGAAAAAAAAACGACAGTGTTACCCCTTACGTTTTTTTTTTTTGGGCGAAAAATTAAGTTTCCCCAATTTTCTCAAAACTCTGGATTCTGATAGAGGGCCATGAGACTTAGACCTGAGTGCAACAATGGAGGCTCTAGACCCTTCCAGAGCTGAGATATCAAAACTCAAAATTTCTACCAGAAAAAAAAACGACAGGGTTTCCCCTTACGTTTTTTTTTTTTGGGCGAAAAATTAAGTTTCCCCAATCTTCTCAAAACTCTGGATTCTGATAGAGGGCCACGAGACTTAGACCTGAGTGCAACAATGGAGGCTCTAGACCCTTCCAGAGCTGAGATATCGAAAATCAAAATTTCGACCAGAAAAAAAAACGACAGTGTTACCCCTTACGTTTTTTTTTTTTGGGCGGAAAATTAAGTTTCCCCAATCTTCTCAAAACTCTGGATTCTGATAGAGGGCCAAGAGACTTAGACCTGAGTGCAACAATGGAGGCTCTAGACCCTTCCAGAGCTGAGATATCGAAAATCTAAATTTTGACCAGAAAAAAAAAAACGACAGTGTTACCCCTTACGTTTTTTTTTTTTTTGGCGAAAAATTAAGTTTCCCCAATCTTCTCAAAACTCTGGATTCTGATAGAGGGCCATGAGACTTAGACATGAGTGCAACAATTGAGGCTCTAGACCCTTCCAGAGCTGAGATATCGAAACTCAAAATTTCGACCAGAAAAAAAAACGACAGTGTTACCCCTTACGTTTTTTTTTTTGGGCGAAAAATTAAGTATCCCCAATCTTCTCAAAACTCTGGATTATGATAGAGGGCCATGAGACTTAGACATCAGTGCAACAATTGAGGCTCTAGACCCTTCCAGAGCTGAGATATCGAAAATCAAAATTTCGACCAGAAAAAAAAACGACAGTGTTACCCCTTACGTTTTTTTTTTTTGGGCGAAAAATTAAGTTTCCCCAATCTTCTCAAAACTCTGGATTATGATAGAGGGCCATGAGACTTAGACATCAGTGCAACAATTGAGGCTCTAGACCCTTCCAGAGCTGAGATACCGAAAATCAAAATTTCGACCAGAAAAAAAAAAAACGACAGTGTTACCCCTTACGTTTTTTTTTTTTTGCACTCAGATGTTCACACACTCTTTTTTGTTTCACACACTCAGATGTTGAGTCGGTGTTGAGTTAGTGTTTCACACACTCAGATGTTGAGCCGGTGTTGAGTTAGTGTTTCACACACTCAGATGTTGAGTCGGTGTTGAGTTAGTGTTTCACACACTCAGATGTTGAGCCGGTGTTGAGTTAGTGTTTCACACACTCAGATGTTGTGCCGGTGTTGAGTTAGTGCTGTGATGTCCTCCTCCTTCTTTTTAAAGAAATGCCAGCTAACGCCAAAGAAGAGCCTCCTGTAACCAAAGTTGTGCCTCACCTTACAGTTTCCCCGAAGTTCCAGCACCGGCACTACAGTCACATGTGTGCGTACGAGCCCGGAGACAGCCACCTGGAGGCACTGCTGAGCCGAACACACACTGACACACACTCCGACACACACTCGGACGAGGCAGGCGAAGGATTCAACGACAGACTGATGATGGACACGCCTGTGATCGGGAAGATGGAGACTCAGGGACTCGGGATGACCTTCACGGACTCGCCTTGGGAAACCATGGAGTGGCTGGATCTGACTCCGCCAAACTCCTTCCAGAACCAGAACGTTCTTCCTCTCAGCGGACCGAACATCTTTAACACCGAGTTCCTGGACGTCACCGACATCAGCCTGAACTCTGCCATGGACCTGCACCTCGATCACTGGTGAGGAGGAACCAGTCCAACGGGAGTCATCGACACTTATCTCACAATTCTGAGATGTTAAAGGATTAGTTCTTCTGAATTAAGATCTCCTGATAATTTACTGTGCCCCACATCATACAAGATGTTCTAGCAGTAGAAGTGTTTATTTGTCCCTGTAGGGAAAGTAGTTTGCAGTGAGCTCACACAGATTTGGCAAGAATTTCAAGAATCAAAGTTGGCATATACAAACAATAAATCAAAGCAAATACATCTAATTTAAGATAACCCACTGACCATCAATCAACACTAGAAGAAGAATTTAAAAATCTTATTGCTTGGGGGATAATAGATAATTTGGACCCGTTTTTCATGCATCTGGGAACATAGTAATGTCAGCCAGATAATTCAAAAGCATAAGATAAAGGATGCCTTGTATCATTCAGAATGATATTAGCTTTAATTATATTTCTTCAGTGGTAAAGAAATTTTTGAGGAAAACACTCCAGGGTTTCTCCATATAGTGTCTTCAATGGGGTCCAACGGGTCAAAGGTCAGATGTGAGTTTCAGTTCAGCTTCAAAGTCTCGACACGATCCAGCCGAGGAATAAGAGTCTGATCTAGACAAACCAGCGACATTTACAACAAAATACACACTTATATACTTTAACCACTAATGCTGGACTTGCAGGAGCTGTGATGCGACACGCATTACGTCATCAGGGTGAAAGGTCAAGCGGGACGTAGGCGTAAGAACAGACCCAGGGTTTATAAAGAGAACGTGCAATGACAAAGTCCCAAAAGAACACGCGTGACCTTTCTTCGTTTGAACCAACATGAAAGAGAATTGTGATTAAAATCGTGAATCATGATTTTCTGAAAGAAATCGTGATATGATATTTTTGCCATATCGCCGCCCAACATCTTGTATGACGTGAGGGAGAGTAAATTATCAGGACATTTTAATTCTGAAGTCAACTAATCATTTAACTTGTGATCGCGACAAACTTTCTCAAAAGAAAAAGCATTGAGTGATAAAAGGTGACAAGTGCCTTATTGTGTTATTCCGCGCAGAAACACACGTCCACAGGAACGGGCCGATATCAACAGTCTGGATTCTGGAGTGTTTGAATGATTAATCCGTCAAAACCTCTGGATTCTTCTACGTAAGGATGTGTTGATGACTGGAAACAGAAAGACGTCCTAAACCCCACTGGGCCGTCCGTGTCCGTCTGTAAACACACACATTAATGCATCACACCAGTATAACATCACCTGTGCTACTGTAAATATGAATACACACTTCACAGCTTGAGCTTACCGTAGTACGTGTCACGCTTTCTGAGATCGTTTCCTGTTCCTTCTTCATCATCATCATCAGTCATTAATTTATTTAGGAAGCGCAAGCCTTTGGATTTACTCAACGCTTTACGTGAGAGTATTTTCTCTTTAGATTCAGAAAACATAAATCTCAACTCTTCATAATCACTGGAGAATTATTCTCTGGTCAAAAGTGTATTTTTATTATTATTTTTTTTTTTTATAAAAAAAGACTGTTTTATATATCGCGAGCATCTTTCCCAAAGTCTGTGTTGCATGCTGATTATTATTATTATTATTACGGTCACCTGTTATTTTGAACTTTATCTCTTTGTTGTTGTTGTTTTCTTCTCTTTTGATGTATTTATTTCAACCTTTTCTTTCAATCGGCATATTTGACGTATTTATGAGAAATTCCTTTGAAACGGTGAAGTTTCTGACTGAGTTTATGGATCCGTCATAATCTTCCGTTTTAACATCCCTGTTTCTCTCAAATAATCCACATTATATGAATCTAAAGCCACAATCCGACAACCAGACAGCGAGTGATTCCCAGCACTCGTGAAAAAGGAAATCTGTAATATATGGGCTAAGTTCAACTGTGAAAATGTATTGTTCTTTTTGTCTGTGGTAAATATGGGACTTAACTAGTTTTTTAATCTTTAGTTTAGAGACTTTAATACAGTCACTGAATAAATAATATTAGCTCACCAAAAGCTCAAACTGTGAATAGATTTTCTTATTTTCATAAAGCTGGTCAAAGATGTTTGGTTTTTCTCCCGTCTCTAATCATACTCCACACCACGGATGCCTTCGTCTTCATGTACAGACTGTGTGTGTGTGTGTGTGATCGCTCTTAAACACACGAAACAGAGTATTATATAAATGCTTCTGTAAGCTATAAACCCTGAGCTTTAAGTCCACGAAGGGCATTAAAGACAACAGGCTGTTTTATATTCAAGACTCAGTTTTGATACGAGACTCTATTTTTACACATTAAGCATCATTGTAGATGCAGATTATTATAAAACTGTAACGATGTTGGAAGCCCAGAAACAACCCTAGTTTCATCCAGTATTTTTTAATGAAGGTTAAATGTGTGTAAAGTTGTGTAAAGAATGTCACGTCCTCTGAAAGATTTTATTTTTCTATGTTTGCGGTTTTCTTCCTCCTGACGCTCTAATGTTCACGTGTGTGTGTGTGTCTGATTTCTTGCTCTTGATTTCTCCTGGGGAAAATATATACGTATGACAAAAAGCTTTTGTATTGCTTGGCCACTGAACAGCGTTCCAATATAAACACTCCCAGTATTCGTCTACACCGCTGTATTACTGTAACGAGAGTTCAATAAACCATCATGAAACCAACACCAGTGTCGTGTGCTCAAACTGAACTCACAAACCATCAGCAATATACACATCAAGCATTTATTAAACGGACACGCATGTAATCAGGTTAATTAATGCAGTAGAAGCACTTTTCCTTGTTATTTCTCATTAACTCATGTTAAAGTCCCCCTGTGGTGAAAATCCAGCTTTTAATGTTGTTTGTGTGTCTATGTGGTGTTTTTAATATGCTTTAAGTTGATAAGTAGTATTCGTCTTTTAAACCAAAGACAGTCTCAAAATCGCTGGCGTTTCTGACGTCACAAACCACCTTGTAACCAATCAGATCAACGAGTGATAGTCAACCGGTGGATCTCTGAGTGAGTGAGTGGAGGCGGGGCTCATTTGCAAATGAGGCAAGGGTGTCGAGTTACATTCAAGATATTTTAAGACAAAGAATTATTTTCAAGGAAAAACATAAATTTGATGAGTTTTAAAAGATAAGATGATTGATACGGGGGACTTTGAACGCTTATTATTAAACGTTCACGATGATGTCACTTCGATGCATGCGTTCACAAACCAGACGGACAGGGAATGGCTGAGTATTGGTTTTATTCTATAGCATTAAACCCATCGCTGTGTTCAGATCTAACAGATGTCAACAATCACATCATATTCATTAACGGCGTCCTCATGAATCATGTGACGAGGGTGATGTCTCCGAACCTGAACACACACGCCATTATCCCTGCACATTTCCATGGTACAATTTATACAGATTCTCACCATACACGTAAAATAATTTTCACAGTGATCATTTTTTTCCTGTACACATTTCCCACTCTCGATACAATATAATAAAGCACATCACTCTTACAATCATTTTACTCTCCGCATTAAACATTCTGGAGTGGCAATGTGATTTCTTGGACTGAGTAAAGGAGGATTTGGACTCTTTAAAGAGTCACGTGACGTGGCGATTCAAAGCTCTCCGAACACTATCCGGTGCCGTATTATTACACAATCAAGATGTTTGATAACCGCTGGACATCTTTTAAAATAAGTGACCTGTGGATGAATTACGTGAGGCGGGTCGTAAACCGTCATGCCGGATCTATCATGCGGAAGCATCGAGGACGAGCCTCAGAGAAAAGTGTGTGAGTGAAGAAACAGATTTCCAGTGGAGGACACGAGATCCAACACGAGACGCCTCGCCACGGTATATTGCATATTGAGCAAGTAAAGCTACTTTAACATTTCTTTGATGCAGAACAAGACCTTTACATAGGAATTCTTTAAATAGAGTGACGAGATGTAGACGTTCAAACACACATGAAGACAAACACTGGGATGGTGACATCTACATCAGCAACTATTACGCTTGATCTGATGGTCTTTGTCTTCTTTAATGAGCAAATTCAAGTTTTGCTTGTTAATATTCCGAAATGATTTTACACACACACACACACACACACACACACACACACACACACAGAAAGGCTGTTTTGCTGAATCTGAAGCTTGTTTACACACCGTGATGTAAATGGCTTTTAAATGAGAGCCCGTTCTTATTGCACAAAATGTTTTGGGACTTTCAATCATGTGTTCACGCACATAAACCATGTGAAATACTCAGACCCTTAAATACCAAGACTCTCATTTCACACATGAGCACAAACCCTGCGTTCAGCGCTCGCTCTCCGACTCCGCGACGCCTCCAGACCGAAGACGATGGTGTTCTTCCTCAGCACAAACATTCTTAAATCGAGACACATTTACTGGAGAAGGGAAATTACACAAGATATTCAGTCTTGTTTTCGAGTTTGTGCTTTAAACAAAATCAGCCAATGGAGTCAGAATAATAATCTTCATCCAAAGGGAAAACAAGATGATTTTTTTCTGACGCCGCTGGCAGATCATTGTTTTTGTTTTAAGCACAAAGCACATTTTTAAAGCAATCTCTTGATTTGAGAGTGTTTGCTCTGGAGAGCGAGGCGAGTGTTCGGATGGCTGACGTGACTGGCGGCAGAGAGCGAGCGCCGAGGCCGGGCGTGACGTGGGAAACGCGGTGAAATGTGGGCCGGTTACGGGCTGATGCTGTATGAACACCACATGGTGACCGGGCCGTGCGACTTACAGACCGCTCACCATCAGTCAACATACATGGGAGAACTGGGAGACACTGGCATCTGATCCAGGATCTTACACACGTACAACGCCACGTCCACCACTCGCTCCTCGTACATCAGGATGAACGGATGCTTCTGCAGGACACACACACACACACCCATATTACAGTCCTACATCACTATCTCCAGGCTACGACCAACAGTGTCCGCTTTATTTCTACAGGTTCACAGTGATAAACAGAATCACTGATGCACACTTCATTGAATATGAAAAATTCTGAAGCTCATTATTCAATGAGTAAGTAATTTTTTTGTTAAACAACTAAATTGAAAAACTAGATTCACTTTAAGTGCATCACGCAATTATAACAAAGTACAACAGTATATTCACTTTTAGACCTGCTATAGATTGCATATGTCAGTGTTATTCAATTTTAGCGTTCTTGAAGATGAACTTTGTGAGCAGAAAAGGTCATCTACGCGTAAAAAAATAGGGAAATTAGCATGTACAATTAAATATTCAATAAAAAAAGAATGCTGACCAATAATCCAATAGTGCATCCATAAAAATATATAATTAAACGAGTATTTTTTAAATGTTTTCATTATGAAGCACAACACAAAGGTTGAAAAGCTCCGGCAGGATTGACGTACCAGCAGTTCTCTGTACTTTGGCCTTTTTGACTCGTCCTTCGTAAGGCTGTAGGAAGGCAGAGGCACGTGATCAAACAGACGTGTCACATGATCACACAGCAAGTCACATGAGGTGATCACATCAAGCCCATGTTTGGAAGCTCACCATAGATTGACAAACTGGATGAATTTGGGAGAAAACTGGCGTTCCTCAGAGCTGCTGAGCTGAGGAGGGTCTCCCTTCACCACCTGAGTCAGCTGATCAAACACACTGTTCCAGCGGGGGTAGGGGAAGCGTCCCGTCGCCAGCTCGTACTGCAACACACACACACCCGCGTCACACACTCTTACATCATCACGACCTGAAGAGAGTGAGTGGAGACGTACCAACGTGATTCCCAAACTCCAGACGTCTGAGCGAACATCGTAACCCTGTCTGGAGGCGCTGGGGTCGATCCGCTCCGGCTGAAAACACCACAACATCTTCTTCATCACCATCACATTCATCATCCTCACCATCACATTCATCATCACCACATTCATCATCATCACCACCATCACATTCATCATCACCATCACATTCATCATCACCACCATCACATTCATCATCACCAACACATTCATCAACACCATCGCATTCATCATCACCACCATCACATTCATCATCATCACCATCACATTCACAAAAGTGTTTGTGTACAAATCAGGTAATTTTTACCTTCAATATTATAGTAGGCTAATGAAGTATAGTGGGCTACAACTGACTCCCAGTTTACAGCATTACTTGAGATTTGTTTTCCTTGAGAAAATTTGCCATGTATTGTACCTGATATCTAAAATAATCAATATTGAATCGAATTGTGAAATTGGTGTCAATACCCTGCCCTAACTTGAACAATGTAAAAACAGCACTTTCATTTTTTTTTAAAGATTTATATTTTTATATACAGTGTAATTGTGCTTCAAAAAAACAACTACATCTTATTCTTTTTTTAAAAGCATTTACATAATATATATATGAATATATGGAACGTGATAAAAAGGTGACCTTGAAATTGTGGCGTTAAAGGTGACGCAAAATGAGAAAAAAATTGAGTGCACCAAAATAAAAAAGTTAGGCGCACCAGTGCAACAAAGGCAAAAAGTTAGTCTGGAGGCCTGCATCATCACCATCACATTCATCATTACCACCACCACATTCACATCACCATCACATTCATCATCACAACCACATTCACATCGTCGTCATCATCACCACATTCATCATCATCCCCATCACATTCATCATCATCACCACGACATTCATCATCATCACCATCACATTCATCATCACCACGACATTCATCATCACATTCATAATCATCACCACCACATTCATCATCACCATATTCACCATCACATTCATCATCATCATATTCATCATCACATTCATCATCACCACCACATTCATCTTCACAATCACATTCATCATACATCATCATGACCACCACATTCATCATCACCATCACATTCATCATCACCACCACAATTATCATCATCACATTCATCATCACCATATTCACCATCACATTCATCATCACCACCACATTCATCTTCACCATCACATTCATCACAACCACATTCATAATCACCATCACATTCATCATCACAACCACATTCACATCATCATCATCACATTCATCATCATAACCACCACATACATCATCATCACCATCACCATTAAACTTGTCATCATCATCATCATTATCAGAGAGCCGTCACTCACAGCCATGTACGGTCGACAGCCGGCGTCTCTGGTCTTGGCGATGGAGTCGACCAGCTGTCCGCTGATGCCGAAATCACACAGTTTAATGTTTCCGTTTCTGTCCAGGAGAATGTTGGAGGGTTTGATGTCTGAAAACAAGCCCAGCCTTCACTCACTCCAGCGTCACGAAACAAACTCAAGTCATTCAATGCTGTAATTAAATTCAGCTTGGAAACTCACCTCTGTGGATGATCTTCAAGTTTTCTTTCAAGTGATTCAGTGCTTTCACAGTCTGCAACCACAAGACTTCACTTCAATAATAATTAGGATGAATATTATAACTTATTAATCACAAAATGATGGAAATCATTTAAGTTATTATAACAATTATTGCTATTAGGATTTTTATTATTAATAACTGTAATATAATGTATTATGCTAATAATTGTTTTATAAATAATGAAAGATTTTTTATACAGTACATTTTAAATATTTCAAATGATATATATATATATATATACACACACACACAAATACTTTTTGATATCATTAAAAATTAGAAACGCATTCTAAATTGTATTGTAAAATCAGCATAATTATCATTAATATTGTTTATAGTAATATAGCATTATTATTACAACTACTATCATCTTTTATAATAACGATTAATAATAATAAAATGTATTATACATTGGAATATTTCACTGTAAGAAAATATGGTTATCATTAAATAAATATTAAAGACTCATAAATCACTATTATTTTTACTTTTTTTCCATTTTACTATAAAGGTATTATTGACATCACTCTTTAATAAAGAAATTATTAGGATTTTATTTTATTATCAATAATTATTATTATTATTATCATCATCATTAGACTAATACTACCACTACTACAACAATAAATAACCTTTTGTTGATGTATGAAATCATTCACTTACTGCTAATGTAATTTTGCCTAATATTTCCTCTGGAATGACATAATCTAATGCACAATATACATATTTGTAGAATTTGTCGAGGGAGGTAGACATCAGTTCCATGCAGATCCAGCAGTCGCCCTGTAGACACACACACACACACACACAGGTCAGTCAGGTGCGACACAGGAGCATTGAGTGTGTGTGCGCTCGTGTGTTCATCATCTGACCTCACGGAACAGAGCGCCGTAGAACTGGACGATATACGGGCAGTCGCTGCTCCTCATCACCACATCCAGATCCATGAGCAGCTGCTTCTGCTCCTTCTCGTCCACGGTGGAGCGGATGCGCTGCGGGAACACAACAAATCAACAAATCAACAACTCAACAAATCAACAACCCAACTCCTCTACTCCTCAACTCAACAACTCAAGTCCTTTACTCCTCTACTCCTCAACTCAACAACTCAACAAATCAACAACTCAACTACTCAACTACTGAACTCCTCAACTCATGTTTATCTGTAAAACGCTTTGCACAATACACACATCGTTCCAAAGCAGATTTCCAGAGTCCACATTACAGTTTCAACATTTTATTCCCACCATTAAATACCACTTTATTTGCACTTTTTGAATATATTCATAATTTTTACTTCAGATAAACGCTTCTGCACAACACTGCTGTCAATCAAACACTGGTGGGCGGAGTTACTCACACCTGCCAATCAGGCAGGCTGTTTGCATTCAGTGGAAATAGACACTCCGTTATAAACACTGCCGTTCAAAAGTTTTTTATTTGATAAAAAAAAATACAATAAAAACAGTGAAATATTATTCCAGTGTAAATCAGCTGTTTTCTATGCGAGTATATATAGTAAAGTTACTTATTCCTGTGATCAAAGATGAATTTCAGTTCAGAAACTATAAATGTCTTTACTGTCACTTTTGATCAATTTAATGCGACCTTGATGAATAAAAGTATTCATTTATCATTATTATTTCATTATTATTGATTTGTGAAGGATCATGTGACACTGATTAATTCAGCTTTGATCACAGGAATAAATACATTCACATAGAAAACAGCTGATTTACATTATACATCTTAAACTTCTGAACAGTAGTGTGTGTGCCAGAGCATCACCTTGACGGCCATGATCTGCCCGCTGGGCTTGTGCACCATGTTGTTGACGGAGCCGTACGCTCCTCTCCCGATCTCTCCCAGATCCCTCAGGTCCTCGGCGGTGAAGTCACAGTGCTGTTCCGGAGAAATCTTCAGCTTCCCCGAGGACTCGATGCTGTGTGTGCGCAGACGCTCTCTGAAAGTCAACGAGAAGCTTTTTACATGCAGGAATAGTGACTTATCAAACTGATTTCATGAACCCATCTGCTATTGGCTAGGCAAACTGATAGCCCCGCCCCCAAACTCACACCATTGGTCGAGCCAGAGCAGAGTTGTTCAAACAGTGATGTTCTGAGCTGAGCTCGGGGAAATCAACATCACTTATAGTTCTCTGCATACGTAACACATAACATATGGCACGAGGTGTGTGTGTGTGTGTGTGTGTGTGTGGTGACGCACTCACATGTGTGGATTCTGGAAAGGAGGAGCCGGCGTGACGATGGGCAGACGAGTGGTCGGTTTGACCGGTGGATTGGCAAAGTTTAACTTCAGTGCTTTGCGTTTACCTGTGAAGGAGAAGAATGTTGTTCACCGTTTCATGTTTTACATTTAAAAACACAGTAAACTTGTTTAACAGGAAGTAAGAAATTAAAGTGGGAATAAAACATGAGAGATGATTGAAAACAATTAGAGAAGTGATGTTTGCTATTATCTTTTAGACACGCACTAATCACAACTTCTTCAAAAAATGTCATAATTATTCTGGACTATTATATTCACATGTGGCTCTCTTTGGTCTTAAAGCGACAGTTCACACAAAAATGTCAATTCTGTCATCATTTACTCTCCCTCACGTCGTTCAAACCCGTGACACTTTCCTTCATCTACGAAACTCAAATGAAATCTGAGAGTTTTCTGTTCCAGTCTGTTCACCCAAAACTCTGACGCTTCAACACACTCAAAAAGAGATGGTAAAATAAATATGGTCGAGCTTGTATGCGTCTTTATATGTGTAAAAACTAAAAACTAAAATAAAAGTCCCCTGTATCAAACATTTTATCCCTTAAATCTCATCTTTGATCAGCAAAATGGCACATTTAAATTATCTTGAATGTAACTCGAAATTGGGAAGAGTTTTGTAGCTCGAAATTCAAAAATAATTTCACATTTCTTCTACATAAATGGCCCATTTTATATAAACATTCATCTTTCCAGAGGTGAAGCATCCCTTTAAATTAAATCTGTTCATCGTATTAAGTGATCATTACTCTTCAGATTAAACCATGCACTGTAAAAAAAAAAATATGTTCATGATTTGTAATCACAACATTTTTTCTTTTGTCAAATCAACTTAAATAATTTAAGTGGTTCAGATAACATAATATTTTGAGTTTCTGATGATTAAATCAATCTCCTACATTGTATTGAGTCAATTTTTTCCATTTCAATTAACTTAAAATTTTAAGGCAACCAAGTTACTTCATTTTTTAAGTTAAACCAACAATATTTTTTACAGTGTGTGATTCATATGGATTTATTTGACCATCTCTTTATGAAGGTTTTGAAGCATTAAAAGTTTTGGGTGATTAGACAAAAAACTTCAAAATATCTTCATTTGTGTTGTGAAGAGGAGCGAAACTGATGACAGTGTTTATGAACGAACTCTGGCTTTAAACCGTTCGGGAATCATCGTGTGTTCTGGAGAGAACCCGCAGAGAGATTACAAGAGCACAGAAAACCGGCTTACTTTGGGTTACTCCAGTCAGATTTATCTGAAACCCTACAGGAGAAGGAAAACAATGATGAAAACGCATGCAGATGATGAAGGTGTAAATAAGAATGAGGCGTGCGTGTGTGTGTGTGTGTGTACCTGTTTCATTCTGACACCTCCAGCATGTGTTGGAATCTGAACGAGGAGGAAAAAGAATTAATTCACAAATGATAAACAATCAATGAAGCTGACAGAACGTTCGGCTCAATGGAAAAATACGCGCCTTTAATAGATATAAAACACATGATATTAAATTAATTAATAGTGCTATTAATCATTCTTCAGGCTCACGTGTGTCTCATTCCCAGACAACAACACCGTGTCGGCCCAGATCCGGCCCACATACGCCATGAATCCACATGTTGCGGCCCGGATCCGAGCCGACGCGGTGTTGCTGTCCGGGTTAGTATGTAACGTATAACTCCTGCATGCATTTATCTATCGAGCGTTACATTACTGTATCACTGTGACATTACAGCATCTACCAAACACATAAACATTACATTGTATTGTCTGTCAAATGCGTAAATGTAACGTATAGCATCTGCAAAATACATAAAAGTAACATAATATCTGCCAAATACATAAATGTAGCATTGTATGATCTGTCAAAAGCATAGATGTAACATTAATGCATGAAAGTAACATTATAGCATCTCTCAAATGCATAAATGTAACACTAATGCATAAATGTAGCATTGTGTGATCTGCCAAATAAATAAATGTAACATTGCGGTATCATTATGATTGTGTTACAGTACTGAATTAGGTGCGTGTTCAACACCCTAGTGAGTGGTCTAGATAGACAGCACTGAGTGGAGCAGCTCATTTAGGGATGATTCCGCAAAACAAAAAAACAAAACACACACGTCAGTGAGAAGGCCTACAGCCTCACCTGAGCAAAGCAGCCTAAGAACGGGGACTAAAACATGCCAGAAACACTGTAACACACACACACACACACACGCTGTGACATTGTACACACACGGCGCGTCGGGAAGAGAGAGACAGAGAGCAGGCCTGGCCTAAACACTTGAGTTGAGCTCACACCAGCACCTGAAGCTCGTGCGGTCGTGTGTGTGTGTGTGTGTGTGTGTGTCTTACCCTGCGTGTTGCTCAGGTGTTGCATCACGGGTCCCGCGGCGCTGATGCTCCTGATACACGGGGCTGTTGGTGAGTTGCTGTTACTGGGACTGTGAGTCGCCATTGTGGATCTGCTTGATTCCAGCAGCAGCAGAGCGACTCTTCAGCTCTCACCCACCCACCCACACACACACACACACCACACACACTACTGGAGGAAACCGTGGAGGGTTCCGCACCCCATTCGGTTGAGTTTAGAAACGAGGGGCGAAAGCTCCTCAGGCGGGACAGGACAGACGGGCTCGATGAGTAGAAAACTGGAACTGCGCCGCTTAGAACTGTGTGTGTGTGTGTGCGTGCGTGCGTGCGTGCGTGTTTGAGGTTGCCATGTGCACGACAACTCCTCGCTCGAGGGATCATCCAAAAGCTAACATTGCATAATTTGTGTCAAATGTGGTTGAAACAAACTTTTATGAAAAATAAACATAAATATACAGTGGTGTGAATAAGTGTTTGCCCCCATGCTAAAGTTGCCTAAAAAGAGGAATAAAAAATCATCTTTTGGATATTGATCTTAATGCCTTAATTAGAGAAATGAGGAAAACTCCAACCTTTAAGGACACAAGTTTTCTTTGTGAATGAATAATGTATCATAAATAAATAAATGTTTTTCCTTAAAATACAGGGTGCATAAGTCATGGCACCCCTATGTTAAATTCCCATAGAGTCAGGCAGATTTTTATTTTTAAAAGCCAGTTATTTCATGGATCCAGGATAATATGCATCCTGATAAAGTTCCCTTGGCCTTTGGAATTAAAATATCCCCACATCATCACATACCATTCACCACACCTAGAGATTGGCATGGTTTTACTTCAGTTAGCCTAATAGCTGGTTTGATTTGCATTGAAAGATGATCTTATGGAAAGTACCCCATGCCAATCTCTAGGTGTGGTGGAAGGTGTGTGATGATGTGGGGATATTTTAATCCCAAAGGCCAAGGGAACTTTATCAGGATCCATTAAATAACTGGCTTTTAAAAATAAAAATCTGTTAAATTCCCATAGAGTGTTAAATTCCCCCTATGTTAAATTTCCATAGAGTAAAAACCTGACTTATGCACCCTGTATTTTAAGGAAAAACATTTATTTATTTATGATACATTATTCATTCACAAATAAAATTGGTGTCCTTAAAGGTTGGAGTTTTCCTCATTTTTCTAATTAAGGCATTAAGATCAATATCCAAAAGATGATTTTTTATTCCTCTTTTCAGGCAACTTTAGCAAACACTTATTCACACCACTGTATATATATATATATATATATAGACATTTGTTTCTAATATTATGTTTATTATGTTTGTTTCTAATATTATTTTCTCCAATTTCATTTGTTGGCATAACAATGCAGAGAACAATCCAACTTAACATAAATATATGTGTGTACATATACTAATATAAAGAAGAAATAAAAATGTAATTAATTATACCCATGTAAAATTATAAATATAAATATATATAGTTATCATAATTCTTTGTGTAAACATATTTGGCAATAAATATTATTCCAAATCTGATATGTGCAGCATTTTGTATTTATTTAAAGTCAATCTTTAGTCAACCATTTTATCCCTTAAAATTAATCTTTAATCACCAAAATTACACATTGAAACGTTTTTCCCTTGAAAAAAGATTCTTCATGCCTTAAAATATCTTGAATGTAACTCGACACCCTTGCCTCATTCAGTATACGCGGTCCCCGCCTCCACTCACTCCATCCGCTCAGAGATCCACTGGTTGGCTCAACAGTGCTGTTCACACATGAACTCATCTTATGAAGGAAATGAAACAGCAGAGACTGAGATGATCATACAGATGGCGTTTGTTTGGCTGTTTTAATGCCATCCTTCATTGACAGTAATCTCTCAAGGATATTTGAGGACTCTGTCTGCGGTTCTTCCATTGCCCTTGAGAAGCATCTGGTCCTCGTACACGTACACCGTCGCGAAGGCGTTGGTGTCGGGGTGCGTCTCGATCACCCCCTCCAGGGTGATGTGGTGCACGCCTGACGCGTCGGTGCAGAACCCTCCGTCATGATCGTGTCCCGAGATGAAGATCGCCACGCTCTTATGAGCGCGCAGGATCGACAGAAGCTCATCGTAGTTCCAGGCCAGACAGATGGGGTCCGTGGCGTCCGGGTGAACGGGGAGATGACCTGCAATCACACACACACACACATCAAGACCAGGAGCCTGTACCATGATGGTAGTTTAACAAACTCAGGGTTACAGGATTAGCCGCGACACATGAGTAATTACTGACAGAATTTACATTCTTGGGTAACTTACAACTTAATTTAAATGTTGTAGGACTACAAATTTATCTAAATGTTTTATATAAATCCAATACAATAGTATTTTATATTGAGAAAGTTTCTAAATTATGAGACCAGGAAATCTCTGCAAACGGTAGTTCCTACACAGAGTTCCCACACTTTAGAAGAAAAAGTTCACTAGAATGTGTTTATCAGATGTAAGTTTAAATGAGTGTATATCATTCTTTTATGTGTTTAAACTGTTGTAGTGAACATGAACTATATATTTGTGAACCGCTTTCTGTGCATTTGTAAATCCCTGCGCGCATCAGCGTCCACGAATAAGGAGATGGTCCTCACTGCGGAACATGAAATCCATGGGGAGGAGTCGGATCCAGATCCAACTCCTCCCACCTTACATACACCTAAACCTAACCAACTCCGCCCCCTAATCCCTAAACCCAACCCTAATCCTACCCATCTCCACCCCTTGGATCGTGATCCGACTCCTCCCCGTGGATTTCATGTTCTGCATTGAGGTGCTACTGCGAATAAGAGGACTCCACCCACCGTCTCCTCAAGCCAATCATATAACGGCCACATTGAGCAGACCAATCATAGCACGTTTGTTAATCTCAATCTATTTATTTGGAATTATGCAACAATTGTAACCCCATCCGTGGCTGAGGGATATATAGATACAGATATATACTCACTGAAGAGCGTGACTCTCTCCTGCCTCTGGTCCGCGAGGGTCAAGACTCGGTCGAGCCACTGAAGCTGCTCCGCACTGAAGCCTCCGTTGAACTTCACAAACCTCTGTTCCAGCCCACACACTGCAGGAGGACACATGGACAACACGCATCAGGATTAATCCCCACATGTCCACTATATACATTACACATGATTATTGTTATTAATCTACATGCCTTGCATGATAAGGCTGGTCATGTTATGTAAAAAACATTATTGTTACAATTAGTGTTAAAATAACTTTACTGGATTTAACGATACCTCAAATATCCAAGCTGTCACTAATACAACTTCACATTTCAAGTTGATTCAACTTAACATTTTAAAGCAGCACAGACTGAACACTTACTTTTTTGAATTGAAAGCGCGCTTTTAGGACACGGGTTACTCAGGATACAGGTTAGTTTAGGACACGGGTTAGTTATTATACTGGTTAGTTTAGGACACGGGTTAGTTTAGGACATGGGTTAGTTATTATACTGGTTAGTTTAGGACACGGGTTAGTTAGGATACGGGTTAGTTTAGGACATGGGTTAGTTAGGATACGGGTTAGTTAGGATACGGGTTAGTTTAGGACATGGGTTAGTTAGGATACGGGTTAGTTTAGGATACGGGTTAGTTTAGGACACGGGTTAATTAGGATACAGGTTAGTTTAGGACACGGGTTAGTTATTATACTGGTTAGTTTAGGACACGGGTTAGTTTAGGACATGGGTTAGTTAGGATACGGGTTAGTTTAGGATACGGGTTAGTTTAGGACACGGGTTAGTAAGGAGACATGTTAGTTTATGACACATATTAGTTTGTAAATGAGAAGTGGTTCTCAAACAGTTTTCCTGGATAAATAAAGGTTAAATAAATAAATAAAAATAGTTTAGGACACAGGTTAGTTTAGGACACGGGTTAGTTAGGATATGGGTTAGTTAGGACACATGTTAGTTTCGAACACGGGTTAGTTTAGGACACTGGTTAGTTAGGATATGGGTTAGTTTAGGACACAGGTTAATTAGGACATACGTTAGTTAGGACACGGGTTAGTTTAGGACACGGGTTGGTTTAGGACACAGGTTAGTTAGGAGACGGGTTAGTTTAGGACACGGGTTAGTTAGGATAGGGTTAGTTTAGGACATGGATTAGTTAGGAAACGGGTTAGTTTAGGACACAGGTTAGTTAGGAGACGGGTTAGTTTAGGACATGGGTTAGTTAGACACGGGTTAGTTTAGGACACAGGTTAGTTTAGGACACGGGTTAGTTAGGATACGGGTTAGTTTAGTCTGTTGTGTATAAATCTGCTTCGCTGTTACAGATATGCTATATTTGAATATGAGCAAGATGTAAAAACATGCATGTACACATCATATCATATCATTTGTTTTCATATTATTTGAGTGTACATTTGAATTATATTTGAATGTATATAGTATAGGTAACACTTTACAATAAGGTTCATTAGTTAACATCAGTTAATGTATTAACTAACATCAACTAACAATGAGCAATACATTTGTTACAGTATTTATTAATCTTTGTTAATGCTAGTTAATAATAATCCAGCTGTTCATTGTTTGTTCATGTTAGTTCACAGAGCAGTAACAATATTAACTAATACAAGCTTTGATTTTAATAAAGAATTAGTAAATGTTGATATTAATATTAACTAAGATGTAAAAGTATTGCTCATTTTTGTAAATTTTACTTGTTTAAAGTAAGTTAGGATCTTGTTATTAAGCAACTGTAGCTGGGGAATGAATGAAGCAAAATATTTTACAAATATTCATGTTTTTTATGTTGTTTTTTTTTTAGAAGTTTAGGACAGGGGTCAGAGGTCAGTGGTAAGCACCTGGCGGCTGGTTGCGGTCTAAATATTATCCAAATAATATTTTGGACAATATGTTTGTTTTTCTTTACACAAATACATTTTTCTTTGTACAAAGAAAAAACTAATTCAGGCTTCTGATGTTTAGGACGGGGTCAGCGGTCAGAGGTTAGGGGTCAGCAGCACCTGGCGGCGTGTTGAGGTCCGCGTTGCTGTTGTGTTTCTGCAGCAGCTTCATGGCCTGCTGATGCTTCTCACTGCTCGCGTCTCTCCCGATGACGCTCGCGTCGTACGCGTCCAGAAGCACGAATCGAAACCTGGGGGCGGGGCTAAACTCATACGCGTAAATGTCGTCCGCGATGAGGTCACTTTCGGCTCGGTCACTTCCGGCTCCGGCTTTCCCCGCGCTGTTCAGCGGAGAGGCCATTAGAGTTTCCCTGCTGAAGTTGTAGAACTCGTGGTTCCCCCACACATGATGCACGTCCACCGAACTCTTCTCGAACTCAGCCATCACCGTGTCTAGCGCTTGTTCCGACGCGTCGCGGCTCTTGTTGTGTCCGTCGATAGCATCTCCGAGCTGAATGACGCAGTTGACGCGCGTCTCCTCCCAGTGCCGCACCGCGTCCCGAAGCAATGCGACGCTGTTCCTGTAGAAGCGTCTTCTGGTCTTCCGATAGTTTGTCCCATCATCTATATCTGCGAACTGGACGTCCGCGATTATCCCGAAAGAAAACAACGCTCGCGCGCGATCCTCCATCTCCCGAGAAACCGATCAGGAACGCGTGTGGTGGTTTACACGCTGCCAGTTCAGAGTATAGTTAGAGTTTGTCATGTATGTAATAATGATGACAGTGAAAGATTGGCCTTGAGTTGACAGTTCGTGGAACATACCATCTCAGAGAGTGTGTGTAGGGGGGTCATACAGGGTTGCCAACGCCTCGCGTTCGGTGTAAAACTCGAGCAAACATCAAAACATAAGACTGACAGTAATATTAAAATCCCTTTTGCAATAATTATTTCCCTTAAAACTCATCTTTGATCACCAAATTGACATATTTAAACGTTTTTTCCTTGAAAATAATTATTTATGTCTTAAAATATGAAACCCGACAGCATGGTTCAACTGATATGCAAATGAGCCCCGCCCCATTCAGCAATGCTGTCCACTTATGAATTTAAAGCATATTAAAAGCACCACATAACACATAAACACCTTCAAAAGCTGTATTTTCACCACAGGGGGACTTCACTATTTAGCCTACTAGCCTATATGATTTGGTTTAGCATGTGATTATGCATAATTTATAGTTATAACTATGTATGTAAACAGCACTGGTCCAGAAGCACTTCCTTTTTCAGTTTGTAACTGTTTTCTTTATTTCACATGCAAAGAAAACATCTTAAAGATGTTTGTTTAACTTTTTGATTCAGTTTTAAATGTTCTGTTGGTTGTATTTTATCCCAGCTTTTATGTAGTGTTAAAAAACTGAAACAGGAAGTGCTTCTGGACCAGTGTTGTTTACATCTTGTGAAATGGTCATATGTCTGAGATATCTGTGTGATGTCTGTCAATATACTGTATATATAATACATATGTATACACACACCAGTCTGAGTGACAGCAGGTGAATGCGTGTGTATTGTATCTGACCTCAGTGTGTTGCCCTACTGCCCACCACATTGACTCGAGTCTCAGTGTATGCGTGTGTGTGTGTGTGTGTGTTTAAATGTTAAAACACTGTGGTATCAAATGTTCAGACATATTTGTTACACTGTTTATTTAAATTTAAGTTACATTATAATATTTTCTTCTATTATTTTGATGTTTTTATTATTATTCTATCTATGTATTCCAAGCTTTGGCAGTATTGCATTATTTACAGTCATGCTAATAAAGCATTTTTTTAATTGATTTGAATATATATGAATATTTTTTTTAGAATTAACCTGTAAGAATTATATTATTTTTTATTTTTCATTATTTTTTGTAAATATTTTGACTCCTTTATTTTCCTATTAAAAACACATGATTCCTCCCAGTTCTCCTTTGCTGTAGCCGATTCTGTATTTCACACGCGCGCTGCACGAGTCCGGCCACCAGAGGGCGCACTGCGCGAGTTCGGCCACCAGAGGGCGCGTGCACGAGTCGGCCACCAGAGGGCGCACTGCGCGAGTTCGGCCACCAGAGGGCGCGTGTTCTAGTCCGGCCATCAGAGGGCGCGCTGCCCAAGTCCGGCCACCAGAGGGCGCGTGCACGAGTCCGGCCACCAGAGGGCGCGTGCACGAGTCCGGCCACCAGAGGGCGCGCTGCGCGAGTCAGGCCACCAGAGGGAGTCATCGGGCAAACACGCTTCATATTGATATTCTCTACTGTATAATTTAAGTGATGAATGATGATCATTGTGCTTCACGTCTGTAACTCGTTCTTAAGGGGTTTAACTGATTGTTACAACATTTTGAGTTTTGTAACAGAGGAGTGAAAATCCTAAATGTGAAGAACTTTAAAGCACGTCTCTCACGTGATGCTTATCAAACACCAGATTTATTACTAGCATATTACTATTGTTCTTTTAGGGTTTCCCCACATTTCATCTGGAGAATGTCCTGAACTGTCGCAGTACTGTGTGATCTCCTGTATTAGATAATACAGATCTTTTGCAACACTAGTTCTTTTCGGCCGAGGCTGAAGCAATTGCTGTGGTGTTTGTGAATCTGGAATGAAGTGAGTGGGTGTGTTCATGTAGAAGAGACTCATTCAGAGCCTTGAGATTCACACACACACACACACACACACACACACACACACAGATGAGATGAACAGGGTTTGAGGCTCGGTAAGTTTGAGTGTGTGTTCCCCCGAGGACTCGACCATGTCCGGCTGGTTCTGCCGGAGTTTATACGCGTTTCACGGGGATCAGCATCAGCAGGGCTTGAGGTTTGAAGCTGGAGAGATGATCAGGATAACTCAAGCTTTAGAGGGAGGATGGTGGGAAGGAGAGAAGGACGGGGAGAAGGGATGGTTTCCATCGACATACGTGCAAACAGAGGTGAGACCGTGTGTGTGAGTTGACACAATAACTCTAGGCTTCCTTTAGTTATGCGAAACTGTTGTTTTATAAGTCCGTCCACGGTGTTCAGTGTCAGTTTCTGCTGTAATCTGTGTGTTATTATTAGTGAGGCTGGACTCGGACTCGCGCGCAACTTTTTACTCACATCGAAACTTTTCCAACAGGTTTAGATATTACAGTTCAGGAGGGGCAGTTTCCCTCAGGATGGGCTCCTCTTATCTCTGATGAAGTGATACTGTGTGTGTGTGTGTGTGTGTGTGTGTGAGAGAGAGAGAGAGAGAGAGATAGATAGATAGACAGACAGACAGACAGACAGACAGACAGACAGACAGATAGATAGATAGATAGATAGATAGACAGACAGACAGATAGATAGATAGATAGATACATACATAGATAGATAGATAGATACATACATACATACATACATACATAGATAGAAAGATAGATAGATAGATAGATAGATAGATAGATAGACAAGATAGATAGATAGATAGATAGATAGATAGATAGACAAGATAGATAGATAGATAGATAGACAGACAGACAGATAAATAGATAGATAGATAGATAGATAGATAGATAGATAGACAGACAGACAGATAGATAGATAGATAGATAGATAGATAGATAGATAGATAGATAGATAGATAGATAGATAGATAGATAGATAGATAGATAGATAGATACATAGACATAGATAGATACATACATACATACATAGACAGAAAGATAGATAGATAGATAGATAGATAGATAGATAGATAGATAGATAGATAGATAGATAGATAGATAGATAGATAGAGTGTTTGTCTCAGCTTCTCACTCTCTCGTGTCACTTCCTGTGTTCGGTGACAGTAATGTTCACATGTGAGCGTCTCAGAACAAGCCTGACAACTGGAGGATACGCTGGCACATCTTACCCCGCTCTCTCGCACAGATATCAGGGACAGACTCAGGAATCACACACACACACACACACACACACACACACACACACACACACACACACGAGGGCGAGGCAGTGGAGAAGTGCGGCACTAACCACTTTACTCAGAAATTGCAGATAAAATTCATAATTACAAAGAAACAGCAAGATTTTTTACTGCAATTCATAAATACATGTTCATATTCATATTCATAATGCAGAGTCAGAATTGCCAGATTAAAAATTGCAATTACCTTTTTTTATTTTTTTTTATTCCAAAGCTTAAATAAGCTTGAGCTTCAGTTTATAAGCATTTTATCAGCTTATAGATCACACTTTACAATAATGAGCATTAATGAACATGAGCTAATAATGAACAATACTTCAGCATTTATTAATCTTAGTTCATAATATTAATGTCAACATTTTCTAATACATTATTAAAATCAAAGGTTGTATTAGTTAACATTAGTTACTGCACTGTGAACTAACAAAGAACAGCTGGATTATTATTAACGAACATTAATAAATATTGTAAGAAATGTATTGCTCATGTTAATTACTGCATTACCTGATGTTCACTAATGAACCTTAGTGTTGAGTGTGACCTGTTTATCTCCAACTACAACATATTCGTTTCCTGAATCAAAGCTTGAGGAAATATGTAAATATATCTGCCGTGTGTATTCGTGCCCAAGAGTTTTAATATTGAAGATGAAGAATGATTAATAAAGCGAGTGACAGTGGAAGAAGAGTCACACTTTCATATCAAACGAATGCAGCGATGAGAGCTTCACACACACACACACACACACACACACACACACTTTCGTCAGGCATTGTGATTGAGAAAGAGTTGAGCGTGATGTGAAACAGAAACTGGTCTGTGATCAGTGATAGTTGTGTTTGAGTATCAGTGTTACACACACTCTCTCTCTCTCTCTCTCCACACACACACACACACACACACACACACAGGTCTGTGATCAGTGCTAGTTGTGTGTGAGTGTGTGTGAGTTTATGCTTCACGTCTCACAGACTCTGAGTTACATCTGGAGATTTAAAATCAGCACATTTTAGTGTGTGTGTGTGTGTGTGTGTGTGTGTTTTCTCCTCTGTTTGGTCTGATTCACACACTCCGCAAGCTTTAACCTTGACTCTCATGGCTCTCGTGGGAATTAGATTGCAAGTGTGTGTGAGAAAATGCTCTCGACGACACTAAGTGTGTTTTCTCTCACTGATCGTCCTCCTCTAAAATAAACTGTGTGTGTGTGTGTGTGTGTGTATCATGATGAGTGTGTGATAGGAAACAGACTCTGATGGACTGAAGCACTGACACACACTCGAGTCTCTCTCGTCTGTCGGATATCGAGTCAAACGCTTCTGGAGAACACATGTGGGCGGGGCTTGATTGTGTGCGTGAGGAGTTGATTGGATGACTGGCTTCCTGTGGTTTGCTATTGGCTGATCTCATGTGAGTGACAGTTTATAGCCCCGCCCACATCATCAGAGAAGAGATGCTGTTATTCTGATTCAAGATTATTGAAACAATAACGATGTGCAACGATAATGAATTTAGGATAAACACTGCGATTAAATCAGGCCAAACGATCCGACTATCAGAGAACGAGGGGCGAAAGGTCACGTGAGGTCAAATAGTGGACATTGAAGAGTTTGATGGACTCCATATTTACAGCATTCTTCCTTTGAGTATCTGACGGGTCGTTCCTGATTTTCCAAGTATGATGCCAGAGCCTGAAGCAGCCGTGACTAACGTGTGTGTGTGTGTGTGTGTCTCAGAGAAATACATATACACTCAATCCAGAGGAACACGAGGCCTCCGAGAGAAAACACAATCCATGGGGATTCAGAATGTGTTTATGTCGGATCAAGACTCATGTTTCCTGTTAGAGA